CCCCCCCCCCCCCCCCCCCCCCCCCCCCCCCCGCGTTCAGTCAAGCCGGCTCACGGGACCGCGGTCACGTGGCGCGGCGGGGGCCAATCGCGGCTTCGCTCGCGCCGGAGGCCCTTGGAGAAGCGCCCCGTCGCCACGGCAACTGCGGGTCCCTGTCAAAGTTAGGCCCGAGTGGCGAAGCAAGGCCTAAATCGACCCTCCGGGTCCGTCGGGGGTTGCGGGCAGGAGGGTGAGGAGAGGAGAGGACGCGCCTCCGGTTCTCTGGCGGCTGGGACGGCAGCCGTCCCAAGGCTTTTCTGACAAGTCGAGTTCCTCTCCGGCCGGTAATTTGCCCTCCAATTTCCTCGGCGAGCCGTGTTTGCGAGGGCAGGTTTCCCGAGCGGAGAAGTAGGTGCTCTTTTACTGATTCTTTTTTTTGCTTGCTAGATTCACCTCCCCGCCTTTTTTCGCCAGGAACTCGAGATGCCGCGGGGCGCGCGCGGCAACCCTGCTTTTCACCCAGGGCAACCACCGCCCTGTGAGGTAGGCCGGGTGGAAGGAGAGGCTCTGGCCTGAAACGCTGCTGAGCTTTCCTGCCCGAGGTTGGACTGGATACCCCACTGCCGGTATGACACTTAAACCCCCGCCTGCTCTCACTTCCCATTTCCCTTTTCCATCCCTTTCCGAGGCAGAAGCAGCATCCAATGTTAAGCCTGGTCAATAAAATCTTCATTTCCCTGGGGGAGGCCAGGCCTGGCTGGCTCCAGGGATGCTATGGAGGACCGATGGGTCAAAAATCGGGGTTTCAATTCAATTGTATAGAATGTGAAGGGCGTGTGTTTGTGTTTTATTTTTATAGTTACAATGTACACTGAAGATGGCATTTAATTTCGTTGTACGAGGTGCAATAACAATAAACTAAACTCAATTAAACTGAAACTAAAATAGCAGAGATGATGCTTCAGATTTTTATGGAGGAACCGAATTACCTCAGAGTCCACAATGGTGCAGACAGAAGAGAGCGTGCAGCTCATCGATCCATGGGGAAAGCAATTCCTTTAAAGTGTGATTCGGGAATATTATTTATTATATAATTTATATATAAACGTGATTTATAAAGTAAGTAAATAAAAAGGGATTTTACTGGCTGCATTTCTGCCCTGCTTTTTCTCAGCTGCGGGTGGTCTAAATCAGAGTTTTAAATCAAACTGTGTTCTTAGGACTGTGTGAAGACTCAGTGGGACTCCCTGAGATATTAAAGGATATTAAAAGAAAAAAAAGGACTCCAATGCAGCAGTCAAATTTCTATTCTTAGAGCCTTGCCTCTTGATCCAGGAGTTCCTGGTATATTTTTCAGGTTCTGCAGTCTAAAAAAGCTTGAAAAAGCCTGGTCTAATTAAAAATCCTTCAGTCGTTTTATCCTCAACCAGTTTGGTCTAGTGGTTAAGGCATCAGGCTAGAAACTGGGAGAGTTCAAGCTAATTGGGTGATCTTGGGCCAGTTCCTCTCCTTCAACTCATCTCACAGGGTTGTTGTTGTAGGGAAAATAGGAGGAGGAAGATGTGTTGGATATGTTCATTGCCTTATTTGTGAAAATAATAAAGGTGTGATATAAATAAATGAATAAAAACATAAATGACAGGTTGACATGTGAGAGAGAAGTGACTAATCCCAAGTCATCAGCCGGGCTTTGTGATCAAGTGGGACTTGAATTTGGGGTTCCTCAGCCCCAATCCAATACCTTAACCTTGCGGCATCGCTCAGAGAGGGGTCAAAACGGTCAAGGTGTCCATGGCTGTGCAATGAAAGCCCTACCCCCATTTATGTGCCTTTACCTGCCCCTCCTACTGGCTTTCTTTTAGTTAAAACCTAATGGTAGTTGCAACAATGTTTGCCTTTATGTCGCAGTGCTATGCTTAATTACTTTGTCCCTGGAATTCTTGGGCTAATAACTTCTGGACTTCTCTTGGGGACATTTCTAACTGAACTTTGCTTATTGCTAAACAATCTCCCTGACTTTGACCTATATTGATGATCTTACTTTTTGGACTACCAGTTCCATTTTACTCCTTGTTACAGCTGTCTCTTATATTTTGTGACTTGCCCAGGATTTTGCACAGACTGCCTGCTGGAATTGTTTCATGAAGGACTATTTTTAAATAAGTTTCTATTAGTGCCATCGGATCTTCCCACCCATTTCCCCTCTTGTTCTGATGTTTTCTTTATCGTGGTCTCTCAGTCTGTTCTCTCTCCGCACCATTGGATGCTTGTTTTACTTGGTGTGCTTTGGGGAAATATAATTTAACCATTGTTCGTTTTCCAGTTTCTGCAGTTTTTGCAAGGTGGATGAATCTGTTCACAAAGATCAGGTTAATGATCATACTATTGAGTAATGCAAAATAAGCAATGCTATCAAATGTCCCAAAATTTTGGCTGTCCTTAGTAGTTGCCCAGATGCACGTTAATGGCACTCTCTCTTTTTCCTAAGAGAGAGTCCTGCTTCTGATATCACACAGGATCTTTAGGATGCAAGAATAAAAAATTCAACCCCTACAAGTAATTTAATGTATTATAATATAGCCATTTCAGTTTGGAAAATATATTTGATGCAACAGTGTGACATTACTCAGTGAGATAGCCAATTGTGTAATCAGGATTAAACAAGTTTAGCATAGTGTAGGAAAATGTTAGAGTCACAATATAATTTTTTTAGACTAATAACTCTCAACTTTGAAAAATTACTATGTTGTAATTTTTCCCGTAAATGCTGAAAAAAATAGACATGAATCAATAGCTGAACTGTACAACTAAGAAATGCAAGTTAGGCCCTGATCATCTAGAGAAGGGGGAAAATCATTTTGTACATGAGACTCTTCTGTCATTTATCACTGCAAGTTCTGTCAAGTCATTGAAATTATAATAGGGTAGGAAAATATTCATACCCTTGCAGTTATAAGTCAGATAGAAAGGAGGAAAGGTCTGCTCTGTGTTTGCAACACCCCTTGATCTTCCATGGAAGTACAAAGGGGGCCTCTTTTTACAGTTTTCACTGTCACAGTTAGGGTAACATCAGTGTGTACCTTCAAAAGCAGCCTTATAAGAATGAATGGGGAAGTGGCTACACAACCACTTGTTACAGAAGGTGACATCATCCCTTTGGAGGGGGAATTCACATAGAAAAACTGAGTGTTGACAGAAGGATTTCTTTTACTACTCATCCTCTTTACAATTTGCCCATTATGTTGTGGCTCAGAGCCAATTCTTAAAACCTCACACACATTCAATTCTGAGATACACACAATGTGCTTTCTACTCCAGTTTTTTGGCATGACTACTGATTCAAAATGGAAAGCTGACATCTAGTCTGGAGGGTAGTGTGTGTGCTTGATACACACAGAGGTGGAGAATTTTGCAAACACGGCAGCTGTCAACTTTGAACAGATATTTTTTCCCAAAGGAGGTGTATCTACCTGTTGCTCAGCTATGAAATCTGGATGGGACATCAGTTCTGTAAGTTGGCATCAATTTTACTGTCCATGGAAATCATTCAAAGGGGATATAGTGAAATAAGGTACCTATGAAGCAAAATAACAGTCATACAATCTGTTATGCTGTTTGAAACAACAAGTAGGATTGGCTGCAGTCAACAAAAAGAGTTTCTAGGAACCATTTAAGGATATTACAAAGTGAAATCATTAACACTGGGCCAAATCTAGGATTAATGTAGTGTCCAGATTTGTTACTTATATTTATTTTTGCTCAGATAGTTTTATAAGCAAATGAAAGACACAAATGCCATTCTGGCTTGATATTCTTGATTAATTATTGTATGCTGTGTTCAAAGATTCATTGTTTCTTCATTAAAAATGCATCTTTTTAATCCAGCGATTATTTTTCGAGCTTGGCATTCTAATCAAAAGAAAAAAGTTGATTTGATTAACCTTAAGAGTGACCCCTCTTGCTTTAGCCTCTGGTTTCCCATCAGTAATGTTCAGTTATAACTTTTGTGAAGGAGGCTATCTCCACCTATTATATTCTGCTGTTTAAGTGGATTCCAGAAAACTCTTTTAAGATCTGGTTCTTAAAAGGTTAAAGTGTTGGAGACTGGGCTATACTCAGGGGTGGGATTCAAATTTTGTAACAACCGGTTCTGTGGGCGTGGTTAGGTGGGAGTGGCCAAGTGACTGGGTGGGCATGGCTTGTTTTTTCAACAACACCCCCCCACCGTTTTTTTGGGCCTTCTGGGTCTCAGGGAAGCTTCCTTGGGGGGGCATTTTTGCCCCCAGAAGTCTTCCCTGGGGCTCAGGA